ACATTTAAAACATCCTGTTTTGCACGATTAAATCTTAGTAATTGCGCTCTAGATCTTTTTTAAACGACTTAACAGTTGCACAAACTCTACCTGTTTTATGTACTAAGTGTGTTTGAAAAAATCGCAGAACGGAAATAAAATGATATATTGACATTATTTATAGCAAGAAATCCAAAAACTTCGAATTGTTTTAGAATATAAGTATATAAGCAAAATAGAACATGAAGATTTTTTATATATATTTGCGATACAAGCTAAAAATAAACATTATTTGTCTATATTTTACGCCTTGACGAAACAAGTTGTCTAGTGGATTTCGACATGCGGTTAATTGAAAGGTTGATAAGAAAGAAGCCGCGAGTAAAAGCTAGTGAGAGTATAAATATTCAAGAGTCCAAACATCGTCTGACTGAGTAAATGGGTTGATGAATTAACCTGTCAGCTTTTCTGACTCACTGCCCTATCTATACGTCTAGACTTGAATGCCAGTACTGGTATTTCCTGTACACGTCTGGCTAGATAATTCTTTTTATAATCTAATAATAAATTTGGTTTTGAAAACATTTCTAATAATAACAATGTTTCAAATATACCTATTTAATACATAGTTTTTAGCGCATAAAAATGTGAACATTATAAAACATTTCCCATTGATCTCTATAGCCATATTCCATTTAAAAGACTCGACCGCAATTTAAATAAAGCGTATCAGATAATATTGAACAAACGTTAAGAACGGGATACAATGCACTCTACCTGCCTGTCACTTATTTGTTTAGGCTTGTCTTAAAACCAGTAGCAGTACCCAAACAGCTATATAATATACGTACAAGCGAGATGCGTTTTTGTAATACTTTTTATCTTGTCCACTCGATAGAACGAGTAGGGTTGACTAACTTCGATTTCTGTAGTTCATGATTCATTCCATGTTGACTCTATACTTCGAATAGAAATATTGAGATTCTCACTTTTGCTTGACTGCTCTATTGGTTTTTGTAGATCCAATGTCACGAAATGGTTTGATGGATGTTCCCTTTATTGTGCAATAGACTGTTTAAAGTAGTTTGTTGTGCGTTTATCCTAAAAATTTGTTTCTTGTAAAGAAGCTGATGATATTTTATCTACATTTGTATGTACTTTAAGTTATCATGTCCGACGTTATGCAGCGTTTCCGCGACTCGTTTTGACATCGAGTCGCCTTTCACTTGACCCAGATTTTTGGTAACTGGTTCGTAATCACAATGCGAACTAGCGGCATTCCCTGTATTACTCCAGACAAGGTTAGCAAATCCAAAACAAACGGAAACCCACTGCTTAACATATATTTCTATGTCTCCCCGAGTCTCCCCATGACCACGGCTGCTGCAAAGCATCCGAAACGTCGGGCCGAAGTTAAAAATCATTTTCAAATCAGTTTAACTAATATATCGCGTTTTAAACCGTTAAAGTGTTTCATTTAAATATATTTCTATATTAAATATATACAAATTTTGTAATGCTTCTTAATATTTAGTATAAATGGTTAAATGTTTCTTGCATTTTATTACGGCGGAAGACAGTCTTTAACTTAAAAAAGTCCTTTTTATACACGTCATTTCTTGCCATCACAGAATTTTTCAAAGCAAGTAACAATTTCAAAGTTTATGGCGGCACTGTTAAGCACAAATATTGCATACGTAGCCCTATAATGTGTTAGCTAGCATTGAACCTGTTTGATTGCGCCCACGCCTGACAAATCCGCGTTCGTCTCTTCTCCCCCCACCCCCACGTGTGCTTCCAAGAAGATTACGTGTAGCGGGTGTATCGAGCAAGTTTAGACTTGTTCCAAGCCTACGTCACCAAACCAGTCCTTAGAAGTTTCAAATCGTCCGCCTTAAGCGATCGTTTCGATCATTAAACACATCGGTACGAAAAGCACGGTGTCAGTATTTTTGGTCAACTGTTTTTGGATGCGTTGTCGGCCCTTATATTTGCATTAGCCAAACTTTTCAGGGGAATTTTAAACAAACATTATCCCACCACACGACTTTTGTTCCCAAACACTCGCGATCTGACTATCTAAAATCCACCGCAATTTTCCCGCCTTTGTTATGTGAGTGACATTTGGGAACACAGCTATTGTGGAACAAATAATTTGAAAGTACTATCTGAACTTAGTCAAATCTCGAATGCATTAACGTGTATATTAGCTATTCAGGCTGCATCTTGAGGCAATTACATAGCATAAAACAAAACGACAAACGAACACATCGAAGGAAGCGTGACGTTAGAAAAAGTTAATTTGACGCTCGTCAGGACGTTGCTAGACAATTTATCCTATCCTTTCGTGTTTTTTATCCCATCATCACTGATTCACTTCGGGTCGGCGGATGCGTGTCCATCAGGCGCGGCCTTTATGCGCGTGCGCTGCATTCGACTCATTTCTCTGCCAACTTGTGCCCTTCAACAATAGGCGTCGAGACAAAGTCATCAGTCGTCATCTCATTTGGCTTATACCAAACATTTTAAAGATAATTAAAATTGTTGCTAGTGCATTTACGAGTCACGAATAACGCGAGAGGGCGATGCTGCCTGCGCCCGCGCTGATATTTAGGTCGCTCGAAATAACCGCGCCACTTCGCCAACCCGATAATTCGGCTGAGCTCCGTCGTCGTGTATTGAACTCTGTTGAATATAAATTGGATTATGCTAACATGAGCTGTACGCTTTCAGGTCAATATACTGAAAAAAACTGCATCTGCAATCTGTTAATACTAATATACATACTATCTGTGCTATAAAATTGTAATATGAATAACAGTGCCAAATAACGAAATATGACGCCGCATAATCATTCTAAACGTCGCGTACGCTTAGAATCGCTTAACATAATTATTATTATACTTCATTACGTTAGTGTGAGTGTTAAGACTGATAGCGAACACGCCCGTGTGTGCGTCGCAGCTACGCTCGCTTCAAGGCCATTTTGTTTACGCATACACAAGAGTACGCGAGCCAAATATAAGCTATAATCCGAATAAATGAAACGGACTTCCGCGACACCTATTCACTACTAAGAGAGCGCACTTCTTAAATGACCAGTATTATCTACGGCAGAGAAAATGCCGCGAAACGCTCCATTGAACATTTGGCGGGAATTCATTATATAATATTGTGAAAGTATTTTCTCGCTGTTTGTTCAGTTTTACGTGGATTTAATAATTGTTTAGTGTTCGTTTGTCTATCAAAGCGGGGTCTTTGGCTCAAGTGACATTTTGAGGTTAACTCAATCACGTGGTTATGTAATAAAATTCACGTTCTTTATACGTTAGATATAAATAATTTTGTTGTTTATTCAAAGGCTATTTGGACACGTGTTCGATTTTTGGCGGGAAGGTCCGCGTGGTCAAGAACTCCTGTTCTTCGAGACCAGGCGGCCTTCAGCGTATATTACGTCATTGACATAGTTCCCCACAGAATTTGGCTAAGTGTGAAAAAATCTTTTTTAACTCTTATCTACAATAACCAAGGTCGCAGTAATCTTGAACTTATACGTCAACAATGGCTATAGAAGTCCAATGGTAAACATTTTATCAAAGGTATTTCAAAGATATGGTTTTATGTTTACTTGAAATGAGTTATGACGGCAGAATTATTACTTTACATCAATCATTTTATTGTTTTTAGTTAGGAGGAACTAGGGAATAGTTAATTCATATTTTACCAGCACTTTCAGTGGTTTATGATTTACAGTTGGCAGCACAATTATTACGTAACTTCATTGAGATTCAAAGAAACCTACATCAAAGCGATCTCATCACGCGAGATTTTGTGTAAGATAAGATATTATAATGATTACAAACTCTTACAATGTGCTACTTATTTTATTTATAAAGTTTAAATTCAGTGAACTTCAATAGTCAGCTTGTAACGTCTGTTTTGTAATTGTTAATTATGAAATTATTTAAAAGTAAGGTAACAAACTGAATTGATTTCTCATTTATTGATGAAGGCTTTTATATAAAACGTAAATTAGATGCACGTATTCCTGTTTCTGGTGACACAATCGACTACAAATCAGGCTTCAAGGCGACCTTGAGATATGGTGGCGGATTGTGTTGGCGCATCGCATGTTGCCAAGCACTTTTTATGAGGTCCGATCATTACAACTTTGCCTCCGATTCCCAAACCGGCTTCATATTAGTCGCTATTAAACTTTACTTTTTGCTTTTCATTAGGAGTTTATCTATATAGCATCATTTAAAACTTATTTATAAATAGCAATTGGAAATGGAGACATTTTGTACGCCGTTTCATGTTATTTGAATAATAATTTCGGTGATTCTTTCGACAAATTGTCTACAATATTTCATATAAATACATTAAACAGTAGTAAAACGACAATAAAAAAATTATAGTTTTTAAGCCAGTCTTTCAGAATTGGGCACGGCTACGAAGGGATTTTAAGAAATTCTTGAACAACATTTTATAGTTACGAAAGCAGTCGTAAAAATGTCAACTGCAAGGGTCCCGCAAGTTCTAAAGATGCATTATAGTCGAGTCGTAAAATTTTCGACCAGAAACTGGTACGGCTCCGCCCTCGAAAGAATTTTACGACTTCACTCAATAGCTTTTCGTTAAATATATTCAAATCACAGTTTGGAGATTACTGAACATTAAATTTTCGTATGAAATATGGGTTACGACGCCACCTGTTAGTACAATCGTATGGGAATCTGGAATTCTGCCAAATAATAAAACATTTTAAACCATACTCCATTGTTTATTGAATTATTCAGAAGCTCTATTGGTAAACTAACGGAACAATTTCATACAAGTGTTCGGCGTTGTCATTCTTGTAGCTAATTGAAAACAAAACGTGACATCAAACAGAGTAACAAAGATACAATACAATAGGGATAATAAACTATGTAATCTAGATCTTAACTGATATTTCCGCGTTTTAGATTGCCATGCTTTACCTTATATAATATTATGACCGATTATTTTCCTTTTTTCAGACTTCCTGAAGCCGCGCAAGCGATTACCGAGCAATGGCAAGAAATCCCCCGCGCACAAGCACAAGCAAGAGCTGCACGGCGTGCACATCCGCCCCCCCAAAGTGGCGAGACTTGCGCAGACGCACTACAAACGCGCCAGCTAGGCTCCACCATCCGCCAAGTGGAACGCTCGAAACATCACGGCAGCTGAATCCCGAGTGATGCGTAAACAAGATCATGTGCCACTTCAGTTCCGATCGAAGGCGGGCGTCCTAACATTGTGCAAATTAAGTTTATATTTCCCTTAATTTATTCTCGGCTTAGGCGGTGTCAGTCACCGTACAGAACAATTATTGTAATGTTAAGTAATTGTAAGGTTTCATACATTAATATATTGAACACCAGCATCACAGCGGCCCGACGCTCAGCCCGACTGAGGCCGACACTCCGAGCAATATATTTATGTGACAATTAATTTTAAGTTTATTGATCTCTTTGACAAGTAATTCTAGTTAGATAAGTTAGCTGTTAATGTCGGAGATTGCAAACATTATCTTTAACTTACGCAAACAAAAGCTCGTTTCGGCGTCATTTCTACGGCGGCGAAAATTAAATTTTTGCGCACCGCAGGAGTGTTGCTACACGAATGTCTTCAGGGCTTGAAAACATTATTGTGGTTAAAGAAACTCGATGAGGACGGGCGAGACACTGTAGCTCAGTTGGTTAGAGCAGCAGCACGAATTACTGTGGATGCCCGTTCCTCGAATTTTTTCAATCTAAATAGATTTTCACTTTTGAAAATTTCAAAGATGCTATACAAGTTTACACCATGGAACATTATCACATAAGCCCCAAGTAGAGCTTGGGACGGGTACATTTTTGTGCTCGTTTCAGTGATAGATCAACAACGCAATCCTATATGCAATAGATACGTAGATTAAGGAAAATACAAATACTCAACAGTGGATTTGTTACGCATATTATCTATGTAACGAGTGAAATTTGCCAATAAAAATACGATAAGGTTACATATAGATTGAGTATTTGTGTTTCGGATCTTCGGGTCCAAGTATCAAGTTAGTCGATATTTTGTTTTGTTGTTATATTTTAATGGTTTATCTTTTGTGTAACGAGCGATGAAGTGAAAGTTTCAGACGCAGGAGGCGCCGCCCTTGGCAAAGTACAAATTCTTTCATTTCTCTTTAGGTATGAGGGCGGCGGACGCTTAAAAGACACTCATTTTCATTTATCATTATTACTTTTATTATTATATGGCACGGTGTATGTTTTTACAGATAAATATGAGGAGGCAATGCAAGAAAAATATTCAGCGGTCACAGTATGTTTTATAACATAATAGATTTTTAGCAGACGAAAAGAATACAACTTTCCTTGCAATGCATCCGATGTCTGTTATAGCTAGGTCTGACTAAACTAATACAATATACGATGAACTTTGATCATTTGACTATGAATAGAGCACGATGTAAAATGCTGTTGAGACCTTTATATTTTTATAATCTTTACGGCGTTTGTTTACATTTGACTAAATTTGAAATTTATGAATTGTGTTGGCCGTAGTCCATCGCGCATGCGCAAATAAATGCTCGCCCCAGAACTCGAATCTCGGACGATTATTTAACAGCGCCTTCGCTCGAGACTACGATGGAATTGTTTAATTAGTACGATGTATGTGCCAAAAGGGCTTCGGGCACCCATAGATTACGTCACACAAAGACCGTCCTTCACCTTTCCTAGAGTAAGATATTTTAAAATTTTCACCTTCAAATTACAATATACTACATTCAGTATTTCCTTTACTCTCCTACCCATCTTGCCAACACCAGCCATGTTCTGACGTAATTTACGGGTGCCCTATATCACACGGTGGCGAGATACAACGCGCTAAATTTTATTTTATTTTCTCTAACACCTGTGATGTATTAAATATGATCTCAGAACATAATTTGTACTCTGTGCAAATGTCATATGTATTGTGTTGTAATAGTGTTTGTTACTGGACTGGGTGTGCGATTTGGTAACGACAGTATCCCTTTGTTATTGAGAAATAATTTAATACATCAATAATGTTTGTGGTTATAGCCTCGGCTGGGAGCACTGTATATTTCTACACGTCGTGTATTTATTTTGAGCCAGTCCGTGTAAGGGATACGTTGACAGCCTCAGAGGCACTTTTGCCGATTCAAGTCTACGATAGAAATAAGGAACTGTCGCAATATCACTTGATCCGAGCGATCATGTTGTGCAAGATTTTTGTAAATATTCGGCAAATATTCTTTATAGATATATTATGTAACGAGTTTCATGTGTAATGTATAAAACTTTAAATTAGTTTAAAAAAGCTTATTTCATACGGTGTCTGTTGTTTTCTTGCGCCCCTAACCTACCTTTACTTTAGCTACCTAAATACAAATCAGAACATATTATATAGTGAATAGTTACTGATATAAAACGCATAGTTCCGAGCACTCCGCGAGAGAGCCTGAATCTAATATATGACATATAAGTATTTTGTCTAGAACAGAATATACATAGATCAGTTTGTGTCCATCATGGATAGAAAGAGTGAGAAAACCCCTGTGGATACCAAAACTAAATAAAATAGACGACGTCTTACCTACCATTAATGTCCTTTTAATTATAAAAATATAAGTAGTATCAAGATTTATATTATTTTACGTTATTTATTTTTCGAATAAGTCCATAAGGAGAATAGTACAATTAAGTTAAATTATACTAAAAAAAAAACAACATTACACCTGTTAACAATATTCGGCAGCCATGTTAAGTCAAGCGCCGTTTTCAACCAATCACGACTCGCTTTCCCCCTTTTTGCTTAGTGCGCCCTCTGTAGGAACTATGACGAACTACAGGCGAGTGCCTTTTCATTTTAACATTGTTTTTGTTTCATGCACTTGTTCGTTTAACTAATACCCTTGAATACTATGAAAGTCTAATTTCACCTAACGAAGAGAAAGAAGTCTGAAACGGAACAACCATGTGAAAATCAACTGCCGCGATGTTCAAAACTTACTTTTTCTCCATGATCTTCAGGGATTCTTCGAGTGAGTCTTATAAGAGTATACAAGAAAACATTGAGTTTTGGACCTTTTTTTTATTGCAAGGGTACCTAACCTAAGATTTTATATCTAAAATTAGTTTCAAATACTTTTCTGCCCCGGTAATTCTGGCGTTATTGTAAGTTTAATACTTTAGTAGAATTGGCAACTACTGTCAAAATCTATTGTGCTTGAAGTTTTCTCGCATTGTATTGTATGGATTGGAAGTAAAATGATATTATACGTTACTAAGAGTTTTAATTAATACATTTTGGGCTGTAACTTCTATTATACTTAATACGTGAGATGAATTAGTATAACTTTACAATTGATTCTTGATGAATGTTTATTGTGTGACATTTTATAAAAGAATAAGTTTTCCAATTATTTGCCTAGAAGTAAAGAACCATAGACTTGTTCTCAAAGAATCACATAACTTGATATTTTTATTGTAAATAAGCTATAGTAACAGTAATTAGTTGAAAGGCTATACCGATACCTATATGATATGATGAAGACCTCAAAAGTATTAGGGGCGGCAAATAAATTAGTAACTAATTCGAAATACTTAACACAATCATAAAAAAAATACGGAACGATGTGGATTGTGCGTTCAATTCATGCCTGAGTCGTAATTTTTTTTTCAATTTAAGAAATATTAATACAAAGTAAATTATTGTATAACCGTTGACCAAAAGCTGCCTAAGAATGATTTTAATTTGCTAAGAGCAATTATGCACACCCATAATCTAATTACAATTTATTGAACGGTGTACGAATTTCTATTACTCATAATTCCCGCTCAGAGGCGAGCCTCTGGTTAAACGTAACGCCTAGCCTAATTGCGTTAAGCGCGAGAGAGCGCGAGAGGTCCTGGTTCGAATCCATATCAGGGACACGATCGATTGTTTCGGTCAGATAGGGGACAGAAGTCTGATCAACTACTTTCCTGTTAAAGAACGGATCAGTTAAACGGATACATAAATGTATTCGCCCCATGCCCCACGAGGGGGGAAACAGGATTTCACACATAAGTAATCCCCACTATTCGCGGATTTCATATTGCAAAGAAAAATATCGACGAAACTATATTCGACTACCTACGAAATCTATCATCCGGTATAATCCGCTTTTGCGTGCAAATTTATTATACATATTCCTATAACATCCAGTATCTTGCATCTCGAGTGGCATAATGACAATGTGGTAGTTCCGGGTTTACGTTAAGTTAGCACGCTTCCGTTAAGTTGGAACTTCCGATAATTATTACAACTTCGGCTCCGACTCTTTTAAATCGAAGGTTTTAATCGGAGGTTGAAGCATAACATCGCGGCGGCGTGACGGCCCGTGTCGAATGTTTTCGTCGACGTTGTTAACGTCGGGCCGTAGTTAAAAATAATTTTCAAACAAAAGTTTAACTAAAATTGAAAATGGAAATAAAAAAAATTACTTATTAATGTTTTATTTGTCCTTAAATAAAAATGATCTCTTATGCCACCGCTTTTGACCCTGCCTCCAACTCCGGTTCCGACTCCGATTAAGCAAATTCAAAAACTCCGACTCCGGCTTCGATTCCGATAAAACTATCTCCGTTACATCCTTGGTTCATAATAGCTCCTAGGGATGTACTAACCAAGAGAGGGCTACTCGTGATTTTGAAAACTGGTGCTTGACTCAATAGTAGTAGGAAGAAAATAGACAAGATTTATTTTTCGCCAAACCTATAGGTATGTCATCGAAAGATAAAGAATAGAGTTTTCTTACACAAAATATACTTACTACATTTTATAGAATCAATAAAGCTTACGCAATTTGCCATAATGGCTAAATCGAGTCTATGCTCGAAACAGTCGAGTCATTGATGAACTTTTCGGGAATAAATGAAACAATTGATTGGATGCTCGTATGAAAATGTTTATTGATATCACAATCAAGTCTACACAACTACCCGATTACCCGCCATTCACCGCGATATAGATGATAAATACAGATAACATTTACCAATTAGTACACCCAGGCGTCGCTACCGTACAATATACAAATTCTAAGTTATACAGATTAGAAATAAAAGTACCTGTCGTTAT